GTCAGAAAAATCTCATCTATGATTGGAAACATCAATGAAACTGCTTTTATAAACAGAATTAACATTTAACTGTTTTTAAAAACAGGGTTTTGTTTTTGTTTTTTAACTCAAGCTTTCAAAAAATCTGTACTTCAGCTGGCAGCTGAGCAAGAACATAAAATGGTAGATCGCAATGCTGAAATAGCAAGAAATAAATACTTGTCAGCTGAGCACTGTAACAAAGTTTTATATCCCGCTTACCATAGATCCTCGTGTAACTATATTAAAGCCAGCAGTACCAGTTGCACAGGTAGGGATGGAACATCCCAGCATACGTAGTTTCAAGCTAACTGAACGCTTCCACATGTCAGTGTGAATTTCTTTTTCAAGTTCAGTGAAAGGTGGCAAGCGATATCCAAGAACAAAGATTGTTTTTCAGTTTAGACCTTAGTGTGAATAAAGTCTTTTAATTATGTGATGTGTGTTATCCATGGCACTGTGCTTGGCAGCCCCTGCCCCATGAACAAATCCAGATGACAGAAAGCAACAAGCTAAAATTCGTGAACAATAGCCAGAATTAGTCTATTCAACATTTTCTGGTTTGTTTTGGGTATTTTGGGTGTTTGGTGGTGGCTTTTTTTAATTATACCAAAGTTTTCTCTGTTGTCTTGACAGTACTTAACAGCAAGAAAAGCAGAGAGGCAGGGTAAATGGAACATATGTTCTGCTTCTAAGCCTCGTGGATGCAATTCCCACATTTCAAATTATATAATTACTTTGTTTTTCCAACATCTGGGCCTGGTCTAATGCCACTACCTCACTTAGAGAAAATTAGTGTTAATGCAAGACACGGGAATTTCTTTGGGAGCTTCCCCAGTGCACTGCATTCCCTTACGTGGGAGAGACTACAAGTACAGAGGAAACTACAGGCCACTTATCTTGATCAGAGGGCAGAAGAGTCTGGTCATGGTGTATAATATCCATGTACCTAGTAATCAAGAAACCCTGCAGATACTGTGTTTTACCAAAATATCCAAGAAATCTTTTAAGGACATTGTATCATAGCATTTGAAGTTCATCCTCAACCAGTCTCATACTGGTGGCAAATGAACATGTAATGAACTCCAGCGTACCCTGGTGAAACTGGTTGGTTTAAAGTTGGCTCTTGCTGAGCTGGAGGCGGCAATGTGGGCACAGCCCTTTCGAAGAGAGCTTTGCTGCCCTCTGCCTGGTTCCTCGGAGGATGCACTGCTGAAATATTAACACTGGATAATATCACCCTGCAGAATTGGTGCTTGGCCTATGCTGAATTAACCAGCTTAGCCATATATACGACAGAGTCATCTATAGCTTACAATCGTCAATTCAAGATGAATCTACAAGGCAGTGCCTATGTTCATGTGGCTGCGTCATTGGAATAAACATTTTTATAGTATTCAAAAACGTCAATTCAAAAAGAATATAATTTGAAACAGCCCAAAATGTTTCATTTTCTCTGTAACACTCCTTAAAATGCATTCCTTGTAGAATATCACTGTATCACCAGCTGACCCCAGGATATACTCACATTATTAGCTTGTCCCGTTTCATCTGCTGTATCTCATAAACTATTCAGGGAAAGGGCTGCAATTTTATTATTGTTATTCCTTTAACATTAGAATCTCACACTGCAGGACAGCAAATAAATCGTTCCTGGAGCGCGGGCTAAAAATACCACAGGCTGAGATTTCTCCGCAGATATTAGGGCAAGTTCATAAGCTTTTCACTAAGAAAAAAGATATGTCAAACTCAGATGAAGGTGAGTTATTCACCTTTGAAATATTATTTCAAACTAATCCAGTTCATTTGGATTTTTTTAGGCTGATGATCTCAATGGATAAATACAGTTTGAAATAACGTCTCTCAGAAATTCCTTCATGAAAACTTTCTATTTTTTCCACTAAATCTTTTATTCAAGAAAATCTAAAGAACATGTTTTAGCTCACGATACTAAACTTGAGTTTGAATACTCTGGCTTTTAGAGGGATTTTGAGTCACTGCAAAACTAAAATGTACTTATCTGCTGCAACTTACCGGTTCGTGGGAACCATAATGATCAAGAAAATAGTCCCAGAGAAAACTTACTCCAGGAAGAAAGGAAGGAGGGAAGAACAAGAGATGTTGGAATAGGGTCATCCTCACCTCTGCAGCTATCTGACATTAAAGATGACAGGGAGAAGTATCCATGTTATGATGGGCTTCATGTTTTCACAAGGGTAATAAATCCAAATAAAATGGTCCTGCCTTTAAGTTCCTGTGAACCATAGCAAGTTTGGGGATACCTGTTTCTCACCTGGCTGCAGGCAGCAGTTTGGGATCAGATAGCATCAAGAAACTAGATCTTACCCAAGCTTGGTGTTTATACTATCAAGGTCCTTGATTAAATATTGAATAGTATTAGATGCCGAACACAATCCCATTCAGTGTATCTTTCCAGTTCGACATGGTACTATTCCTATGTATTTCCTGATTTTCACATGAAGTTTTGCCAAACTTCAGATACCTCACACTTCCCTAGAGTTTCTGAGATTGTGTCAAAGCCACATTAAAGAACAGTAAATTACATTAACAGTTTCTCTCCTGAGAACAGACCTCCAGCTGTATCATCAAACAGAACGAAGTAACTTTGACATTATTCGGTGAGGACTGACTCTTTTCCTCCCAGTGCTTACAATTTGATTATTTTTCCAGGATATTCTGAGAAGTGCAATCAAGATAACTGATTCGTAACACTGCAACTTCTCTTACCTTCTGAAGACAAGCAAATGTTTGACCTTTTCCCATCCTCCACAGGTTCTCACAGATAATTGCTAATAGCTCTGAGGTTGATACTGTTCCCTAAGTGCCCTGTGATGAATCAGCCCAGCCAATCTGAAAACATCACATTTATCTAGTTATTTTCTAACCCCTTCTTCCTATCTAGACAGAAATCTTCCATGAACATCAGTGGTGTTAAACGTACTGGCCTCTGGATCACCATTGCCATTTTCATTGACAACCAAACCCAAAAAAGGCACTAAATTGTCCATCTGCCAGAGAGCCTTTCCGATGCACTGTAGTTATAAGAAACCAGCACTTTTCTCGGTCCTCATTATACTGCTGAAATACAGAATTTGTATTTATTACTTATATTTGCTTTGTGTATAAACTTTGTGTAAAAACTAACGAGCAGTTTTTGTCACAGACAGACATTACCACAACCATGTGTGAACAACCTACCCATGTATAACTCACAGTTTTCCTCTGAAGCACCCGGTACATCTCCTCTTGAGCATCCAGACAAGCGTATTTATGCTGTTGTTTTGGGTTGTGTCATTCCCATGGGTTCAGGCAACTCAACGTGCTCCGGCTCCATAAGGGCCTTCCTGAGCAAACTTCCATCTCAGGCCTGTTTGTGAGCTTCCCTTTTGGAAGGATATCTGGGGAAGCATGTGGCCATCAGGAGTGACAGCATCACATAGCAATGACGTCAATGCTTGTAATGCTACTGATGTTTCCAGCTTCATTTTTAAGAAGCAAAGACAGTTCCAGCATCCCCAAATCACAGCATTTTCCGCTTTGCCTTACCTATCCGTGCACACATGCAAATCCACAGAGACTTTGACATCAGGTTTTAACAAGGGCATGCAGTTTTCTGTCAAATAAAATGTCAGGTTGTGATCCTCCATCTTTCACTAGTGCTATGCTGCCATTTAATTTAATAACAGCTAAATATCAAGTGCTTACTGTTTTGACGCTGTGTTCCATCAGCTATTGAATTAGAAATAATGGGACAGGTCTAAACTTGTGATTCATGTAAACTGTCTAAACTAATCTCAGTCACACAGTGACACGACATCTAGTGATAACTGATTTAACAGGTGATTGTTTAGCCGTCCTATCCTCTCTCACGGAAACTGGAATATTAACGAAGGACAAGTTTACTTACACTTTACACATCTTTTCCAGACAAGAGACATAAATTTATATTCACCACAGGAACTATTTTTTTCCTTTTCTGCTATTATAAACTCTTTCATTGAATTTGACCAGTATTTTGTGTATATGATAAGCCCTTGTAGCTTCAGGTATACTGCTGAACTTCTGAGGTGATTAAAAAGTATCTCTGGTGTTTTCCATGTGTATTTTTCAGTTTACCATCAGCTCTAATTCCAGCAAGCTCCTCAGTCCCAATTGCTCCTTGAAGGAGCTCCTTGCACCTGCTGTAGCAACCGCCCAGTGCTGATCCTGACAAGTCATCCAGAAGTAAACAGTTGCTCTGTTAGAAAGGAGAGGACTTTCCAAAAATTAACTTGGCAGAATTTTAAATATTAAAGGTATCTGCCCTAAAATAAATCCTTTCTCTGTGTCTTCACTCTGTGACTGAGTTTCAGCCTGCACCTTTTCTCTGCTGTACTCAAACCAAATATCCTCTGGCAGATATAAAGATGCATTATACATATTCTTCTGGGTAAAATCCAGAAATCCTCAGTGAACTGTCAGTCATCCATAAATAAAACCAGTTGCTAATTTTTCCTTCACATATTTTATTAGTGACCATCAACAAAAAGTTGACTGAAATAAGCGATGACAATAATATTAAGTGGCAGAATTTTTCAGGTATGTTTTTCCAAACTCCATTGTTATCGAAAACAGGATAACTTGGAGATAATGAATCCATTTTTGAAGTCTGCCAGTCATTTTTGCCATTTGCTTACCAATGTGCCAGATTTAAACCTGACAGGCCAGACAGCAACTGCATGATGCCTTTGTGGTGGAGAATGATAGTGTGCTCCAGATCAAAAGAACTTTTAGGAAAAAAAAAAACAGATCACCTTCAAGAGCAGGTAACAGGGTCTGAACAAAATTATCTGCTCTAGACAAAAGGTGGCTTTTGGAGCAGGAATTCATATCCAAGACAAAAATAAAACTTGTATGGTCTCAAGACATGTTGACAAAAGTAAATAAGATTGCTCAGTGGATGGTCTGTGACGTGCTGCAGCCTAGCGTGGAATGGCACAAACCCGGTACGGGTGAGGCTGCAGCGTACCCCCCAAAACGGGCTCTGTGTTGATCCTCGTGACCCCCGCAGGGAGCCGGAAGGTGAATGCCCGCAGCAGGCTGGCAAAGAAAATGAAGAGCTCAGTCCTCGCTAGATGCTCTCCCAAACACACACGGTGCCCTGCAGGAGGAAGAGGGGAAGGACAGCGAGTAAATTACCCTGACCTCAAAAGCAATCGTGTTTATCCTTAAACACAGGTATTTTGCTGAGTCCAGAATTTCTTTAGGACTTAACGCAATCAATGACACAAAACTTCATGTAATTCTTCCTTTAAAGAATCCTCTCTGCAGCTATAGATAACTGTGCACCCCCTTTCTGCTCTGAGTTTTGCTTCAATTACCTCAAAAACTTATCTCCATTTGACTAACAACTTTAAAGGAATGCATTCAATAACGTAAAGGAAGAATGAGGACTTGCTTTTCCTGGGAGATGCCATGCTCCAGTTTTGTGTGCATAAAGCATCAGCACGGCTGCTTGCATGTACTTTCTAAATGTACTTCTGCTGCTGAAATGCATGCCTCTAATGAACAACCATGATCATTGGCAGAGAATTTCCCTCCAAAAAAAGGGCAAGTTAGATGTATACATTTGTCAGGACATCTCTGATTTTCCATGTTATTATTATTTGTTCAGTAGAACAAATGTTTACAGTTGAATTGGGAAAGGTTGCTGAAAATAATCATGTTGATTTTATCACTGTTTTCCACAAAGAGGTTTAAAATAAATGGCCAATAGGTTTTCAATATACATCTTAATTCTACAGACCCAATCCGAATTATTAATGTTTGTGCTGTCGGCCCGTTTACCTATTGAGAATGGTAAAAAGGCTTCTTTGCTCACAAAGTTTCCATCCTTATCCAAGAAGTGACCGGGGTTGAACTGTCGAGGTGTTTCCCACTGCTCTGGGTCATACAACGATGAAGCAATACTTGGAAAAACTATGGTTCCCTGAAAGGAGAAAAACACTAACTCAGTTCTGGCTGTCAGTCCTCCCCCAGCAGTCAGAAGCAGCTGGGAGAGACCAGTGTTGATTTACTTTCAGAGCTGAGTGTTGTATGCTGGTAGGTTCATTTCCCCAGTAGGAGCTGTGAGGAACAGGAAGTCGTCTTGTTTCAGAATGTCGGTTCAAGCCTGACAGTGAAAGTGGCCATGTCAATAGAAACCAACAACTGTATTTGTACTAAACCCATTTTCGCTTCTAATGTTACAAGTTTCTGTGATTTAGCTCTTTGAAAAAAGTTAGTTGCAAACCTGCATGCTTTTCCCTGGATCTTTTACAGGCTTTCTGCAGGCAAAAATTCAGCACAAATCAATCACAGTATCTTTCAGCATCAATCTCTAAGGGTTTGTCTTCCTTGGTTTGTAGAAACACTTGCTAAACTCCCCTCTTCCATCCAGGGGCATCTTTCAGTACTGATAACCCTCTCCCAAGAGCTGTGTCACTCAACTTAGCCTTGCAGGTGGTTTCTTGTCCTTGTTCCCATTCAGGCTATGACCCAGAGGTATCCAGCCTCACTGCTGTTGAGAAGACCCTGGCACAAACAGATTTTAATCCACACCTTGCTCCACTGATGCAGGAAAGGTCTGTAGGAACTGAAAACTGGTGTGTGTACCTTTTTGAGGGGAAAGCCGAGCAACGTCGTGTTCCTCACGCACACTCTGGGCATGCCAACCGAGATAATGTTGCTGAAGCGCTGAACCTCATGAACTACAGCATTTGTGTAGGGCAGTTTCCTCCGATCCTCATAACAGATTAGCTGGGAAGGACCCAGAACGGCGTCCAGCTCCTTCTGCACTTTCTCTGCAGAGAAATATTCACCATTGCAGGTGGAAAAATGTATCAAGTATTTTCAGTAATTCCGTTTTCAAAGACATTTCCCATTTACAACTAAAAGGACAGCAAAAAAAATAATGTAAAAATATAAGTAACGTTTATAAAGAAAAATAAAATTAGCAGAGTGTTCCAACAGCTTAAACATATGGCAGCTCTACTGCTGGGTCTGGAGTTACTTGGTTGTAGATTAATACAAGACACTCGTTGCTCAAAAATTTAAAACTCTTAAAGAGTGGCCTTACTAACACTGAAATGCAAGAGATGAGTGATTTATCTTTGTGTTTTCTTTTGGCTGGGTGCCTCAGGCACCTACAGCCAGTTAGAACCACTACGCTCACAGCTCTCTGGAATTTAAGCCAGGTGAATCTGGGCCTTAAAAGCCTAATTCCTTTTAAAAGGAAACACTTCTTATGTAGGATGTCTGTTAAGTGAAGCAATGCCAACTAGAACAATGTCCAAATACCTTTAAAAAATGGATCTGCTTCTGCCAAAGGCGCCTGCCTTTTGATCAAGAATCACATGATTTAAATTACTTGTTGGGAGCATTAACAAAAATGTAATATTTGTTTTGTAAAATTCAAGAGAGGCAGGACACATGCAATAAAAATGCCTTAGAGTTTTAATAAATGATCTAGTCTTTTTCCAGGCCCTTTGAAGCAACACCAAGATGCAGGGAAGCCTGTTCTGCACTGATCTGTTCGTGCTCGTTCACACCAAGCCTGCTCAGTGACTGCCAGCAGTCCTTCACGGAACTGCGCTAGGTAGGTCCTGACAACAGAGATTCAAGCACCTTACAGAATTTAAAATGTATATCCAGAAAGATTTTTAAGTAAAGTAAATTTCCTTCTATGAAGAACTAGCTTGGAAAATCGAGCATGACTGCTTCAGGATCCAGTATAGTTTGAAGTGATCAGTCACTGCCTAAGTGTAAATATGCATCTTTGTTCCAGTAGTTCAGGGAACACGGAGAGCTGGATTCAGCAATTAGGCAACAGGCCAAAGTTTTCCATACGGTACATGATGGAACTGCTTAACATTGTCACTGGGTGTCACACAGGCAAAAGTATGAACATGTTCAAAAAGAAGCCACCAATTAAATGAGAACAGATGTACTGCTGTCAGTTCCTTATGAGAGTCTGGATGCAACGTGTGACCCAAGGAGCCCAGGAAGGATCACTCTGCACACACCTTGCTTTCCCAAGTATGTGCGAAGCTTTATATTTAGATAAATAAAATTATATGGGTGAATCAGCGCTTTCATAACCCTAATTACATTATGTGATAATAAACATGCAATAACACGAGATTAAGTAGACCTTCTTGTCTGGCAGCTACAAGTTGACAAATTTGTTCTTATCTTCATCTCTTTCCTCCATTTAACACCCTGTATTCCTCTGGGTATTTGCACATATTCTGCTGTCTAACAATGAGACTTCTGTTATGCAGCAAAAGAGATCATTTTTTCTTCGGCTTTCATTTAGTACTCCATGAAAGTGATTGATGCTTATTAAAAAGCTAGACTTACAAGTAAACTTCTTAAATATACGTAGACATAACAGATGAGCCATCAAATTCCCTTCCCGAGCGAAATAATTTCTGTTGCAAGAAACTCAAATACATCATAGAGTTAATTTAATCACAGATTAAATAGACACCCTGATACCTTGGGATCATAAACGGACTGATGGACAAAAACAAAGCCAAAGTTGCCAGTTGATCTTTAGGTGATTATCTTTGCCAATTCTGTGACCTACAGAGCACAAAGATGGGCAGATCTCCCTTTAGCCCCCTTCACTGACACTCAGCCAATACAAGGCAGAATGGAGGTAAGTTTCCAAAGAGTGACGTCCCTACTATCACACGTCAGTTTCTGGTTAATTATTTTCAGCCATCATTCTTGTTTATGACTAAGCCAGAAGCTAACTCAGTTTCTTGAAGGACCATCAGCACCTCACCAGTGGCCACTGTTCCTTCACGGATTATGAGTGCAAACACTCTGGCTTCCCAAACAGCAGCTCCAGTCCTCTTACTCCATTGATACCCTATCACAAACTTAATTTCCCCAAAGACCTCAACCCCTCCATCTCAATCAGCCATAACCTCCTATACATATGCACACTTCCCAAACTGTTCACTCTTTCTGGGAACTGCCTTATGTCCGTGACTGCTGTAAGAGCTGGTATACAGATACTCTGGATCTACCAAAGCTGCCTGGCACAGTTCTACCAGTACAAAAGGTCCATGTGCCACTAGCCGTATACCAGTATCTAGGAATAACCTCTGATCCATGAAGATCTTATGACTTGGCTGTTTTATTGCATCAGAGATATTTGTGTTGTGCTTATCCACTCACCTTGAATGTCCGGATTTGCCACCATATAGAGCAGGCCCCAGTTCAAAGTAGTGCTGCTTGTCTCCGATCCACCCAAGAAAAGGTCATTTATAGAATAAATCATGTTGTCTTCATTGTATGTAGACCTGGGTTCATCTCTGGCCTGCAAATGATAAGATAAAGTAGAGGTTTATACATGAAAGTTAGAAAAATCAGAATAGCTTTAAATGTGGTTTTTATCACTGGTTCCAAGCTGTTGTTCTGCCTATAGTATAATCAAGAGGGACTAATAAAAGATGGTTACCAATAGAAAAAGCAAACATTTCACAAACAGACAAGCCATGTTTACTCCACTCTTAACCGTGAAGCTAAATCCCGTGTTCTCCACAGAAAAGGACTGTTGGCTTAATTGTGCAAATAGTGGTATATTTAGAATGTTTCATAAGTAAATGTTCCTCCGAAGACGTGTGCCAGCATGTCATTCTTCATACCTCAAGTCATATTCCATCACTTAGTTTTTCTACCAAGCAAGTGTTCTGGGTCAGAACACTGGGATGTCAGAAGTTCTTAACCCGTGGTATTCAGGCCTCTTCTCCACTACAAGGTCACAACGACTCACGTACAGCTGCTCTGGGGTTTTACAGTTTTCAGTCAGAAGTGTGAGGACATGTATGTGTATGCTGAAACCACGAAAAAACATTGTTATGGTTTGAGAGAATTCATTGCCTCAATTTAGGAAGGTTGTGCTCAGGGGCCTTGAACCTTTCTTTTACCAGTGGAGCAACTAGAAATGGGAAGGATGTTTTTCCCTGTTGTAATATCATCTAATCTTTTTATATTGCCCCTGGGTATCTATTACAGACAGTTCAATTTTTTTTAATAAACAAACTTGGATGATTTCCACCCAGCAGAGTTCCAGAAGAGCTCACTGAAACAATTTCAGGTCTACTGATGTTCAAGTCTCATAAATCTTAGAAGATCAGTGAAAGACTTTAGAAGCATTTAAATGCTTTGGAAGACCAGGTGTATTAATGTTGTACCAATACAAAGAAATGTAAAACAAGAGGATCCAAGGAACTAGAAGACAGTAAGGACATAAAAATATAGCAGCTGATACGGGAATCAATTAATAAAGAACTACCAGCTAGAAATACAAATTACTGCTATTTATTATGATACAGAAAACTGACCTTCGCAAGGACGTCTGATTTGATTCTTTGATAGAGCTACCAGCTTGGACGATAATGACAATTTCACAGTTGCAATACACTTGGAGTTCCACAAGACAGTTGCTTTTGTTCCCCACAATAATAAAAAAGTCAAGTGCGACAAAGTATTCATAAGACCCATGCTAAAGGACTAAAGAGCTGGCTGATAGAAAGAGCCAACGGACGTTCTTCCCTGGATGCACGGCTCCGTGGCGTGACTGAGCGCAGCAGCAGAGCCAACACAAGGGACTGCACAAGGCAGGCAGCCATCCAGGACAGCAGATCCATTCCAGCTGTGCCAGGAGATGCAGGATGGGTGCCTACAGCCTGACAAGGTTGCAGTGCCTGCTGTTGCTGCAAACAGCACACAACCATGGCAGAAGGGGCACTGGCTGTCCTTGCAGAGAAGCACTGCCACCCAGGAGTGGCTGTCACTACCCACTTTTCCAGGAGATGCAAGAATAGATAATCCCCACCCTGGATATCTCGGTTGGTGCTCTGAGCCAGTCTTGCCTTGTCACTCCCCAGTAATACCAGCCTCATCTTGACACTTCCTCCCCATTCTCCCTTTTCTTCCTATCACCAACCAGAATAAGAGGAGGAATACGGCCTACTGCAGTGGAAAAGAGGGGAAAGGGTGATTAAGTGAAGGTAGAAAAAGTCACAGAGGGGAAGGGCAGCTGCTAGCCCAGGGTTTAGGGAGGGCATCTATTTCCCAAGAGATTCAGACAAAGAAAAAGTGATCCTGGTAAGGTCTAGAAAAGGGAGACATACGTGTCCCCACTCAACACTTATGCAAACCTCCTACAGCCTTTCAAAACCCTACGGATTGCCACCTACCTCTGCTGTGCCTGCCTGCCCCAAATGCCTTTATTTGTCACAGATCCCTTTGTGTGCTTGAAGCTTCACCAATCCTGGCACCCTCCTCTTCCCCAGCCTGTCCAAAACTCCTTGGACTCCTAGATTATTTCCCCACCAAACGTTCTCAAAATCCAGCTGTCCTCTTGCAGTAAGCTCTCTTGACAAACCCTTACCAGCCAAATACCCTATCCAGAACATTCCAATCTGTCTCCTCAAGACCTTCCCAGTTCTCTTGTGGTCCACTTAGAAATGCAGTATTCTTTCCTGGAAGTCTTACACCATTTTGTAACTTGCGTCAATGAGAAAAAAATGCAGTGTATCAACCTGCCCTTCAATGAAAGGACTGCAAGGTGCCGTGGCATATCAATAATTAGAAATGATTTAGCAAGTCCCTGGTTACTGGATTCACATTAGGATGTTCATGAAAGGTAAGAGATTGTGATAGAAGGGCTCAGATGGGATAATTTGATGGTCAGTTTCACCTTATTCCCTAAGAAAGTACGATCAGGCAAAACAACTACTTACTTTTTCAATGTGAGCCAGGTAAAAGTCAATGAAATCCTGCAGTTCGTCTGGTATCCCACGCTCCGTGTGCATTCTTATCTCTCTCCTTGTAAAAGAGCTCAGGACATCATAGCAAGACAACGCCTTCTTATGAGGACCAGGGAGACGGCACATCAGCCAGGGGAAGATCTCGTAGAGCTGCAGGAATGACACACAAGAGGCACCAAAGTCTCTACCACCAGAAAATACACTTTAGGCCTACTAAAAAGAGAAGGTAATATTCACGCCAGCATGTGGTTTTGTCATCATTAGTGAAATATTCTGACAAAGACTATGCTCATGTTTTCAAGCTATGTAATTTCTATCTGTTCAATTCATGCATTCGATTACAACGAGCTGCATTCAGACACTTTTAAAAAGTGAGATCCTGCCCTCCAGTGGAGAATACCAGGAAGGAAGAAGCAAAGCCATCGCAAACTGTCCTCACCAGGATGTGCAAAAGCAGGTGGTACAACCCAAAGCAAGGGCCGGCCACCAGTGGCTGACAGACAAACTCAGTATCTCCCAAAGCACCCTCTACTAATCGAGCGCTCAAGGGTCCTCAATAAAACTTGAAACATCTGAAAGCCAGAAAAGCTGAGAAACAGCTTCCTAACGTTTTCGAGTGCTCTCCCCTAGAAAAGAAGAAGGGGTTAGGTGACACAATCAGATGAATTTTATCCTCTCTTACTGTTTGGGAAAATCTGGCCTAAGAATAGCTTAGTTCTATCTTTTCTCAGTCGTCGTTCTGCCGAGCTCTTCTTGTACTCTCCTAATTACGCTGCAGAAAGCATGTTATGGTGTTCACTGGAGTCTGGCTGAATTAGATGAACTATGCTTCTGTCTTTTTGGAAAATCAGTTCTTATGGTCAGACAGCTAATTATCAATCAATCATCGCCTTCTCACAGAAAGGTAGTAGTCGAGCCTTTGGTAAGTTCACATAGAACTTCACATCCTTTTTGTTTAGTTCCATCTCTGGTATTTTTTTTCTTTCAAAATCTGTTCAGAAGATTTACATACAACTGTGGTCTGACTAATC